ATATACATGATGACACACACACACACACGCGCTCAGTCAGCGTTATATAAAGCAGATACTGTCATTCCTCCATCATAATGGCGCAGCACTTCACTATAAACACACTCATACACCGCATTATTCTCCGATATTTCCGCTCATCCGCGCCGGTGAGTTTGACGACAGTACTCGTAGAGCTGGACTTCGGCTTCTGTGTGTCAGTCACGTGTCATGATCGGTATCAGACGGGTTATTGATGAGCGGTGGTGATCGATTATCAGTGCAGATCAGGTGTGGAACTCACCGTGACGGCGGGCCGGTGAACAGCAGAGCAGCAGCGGCTCAAGGAGAAACACACAGCCGCCATGTTGATCAGTCTGACTCTCTGCTCCAACACTCACTGCGCATGCGCCTCAAATCACGCACTCCGCCGCCCACAGAGACTGCGCACTGCAGAGGGCGCTCACTACGCTTTTAAACACAGCCCACGAGTGATCCTGCGCTATATAAGCGCATATTTTATCTTATAATAATATAAATGTCGGCATTTCTGTCATTCGTTTACTACTAATGATAATAATAATCATAATAATAAGCGCTGTGTTTGTTTCCAACAACATGCGTGACAAATCTTCAGAAACATGATACAGTTTATTACAGGAAACCGTCATGTTCCTCTGTGGAGTTTAAAAGCCCAAATATAATGTTTTCATCTGCATGGCAAATCATCATCATTTTTATTATGCTTTAAACAACAGATACATGACAATACAGTAAACAAAAATGCCAAGGGGGTAGAAAGTCAATAATAACAGCACAAAAGGAGATCTTCATCATAAGCGTTTACTATAAACTTTTACTTTGTCACTCTGATGAGGCACGCATGCGCCGGATGTGACGTCGCGTCACCGGCGACTCCAGAAAGCGCACGAGAGATTGAGGTCACACATGAAGCGTCAGTTCACACACACTTGCTGAAACTCGGGGATCGATCACACTGATTGATCATCATGGTGTTCCTCACGCTCTCCTGCTGGATCCGGAACCGCGGACCCGACCGATACTGGAAGGTGCAGGAGCTGCTGAAGAACGCGCGGGTGAGTCTCTCTCTCTCTGTGTGTTGTGTGTGTGTGTGTGTGTGTGTGTGTGTGTGTGTGTGTGTGTGTGTGTGTGTGTGTGTGTGTGTGTGTGTGTGTGTGTACCCCTGTTATATACTATAGTCATTTACAGAAAATACCTCAGTGTGTCTGAACACAACAGTTAAGTGTATTATACTGTATATGTTACCGACAGCCCTGTTAGTCAATGCTCCAGCAGACTGCAGTGTTCACTATAGGGAACTGATAAACACTGCAGTGTACTAGTGTTTACTGCAGTAAACTGTGGAGTATAGCAGTGTAATATACCCTACAGCTGTCGACAACTACACTACTGGATCATTTGTTTATATTATTATAGTTGTTGTGTTACCATAGCAACTGTAGAATCACCACAACAGATCAGTTACTATATTCGTCGTGTTACCATAGCAACTGTAGAATCACTACAACAGATCAGTCACTATAGTTGTGTTACCATAGCAACTGTAGAATCACCACAACAGATCAGTTACTATAGTTGTCGTGTTACCATAGCAACTGTAGAATCACCACAGCAGAGTAATTGGTCTGCTTTACTGTAGCGTGGTTGTAAGCGCTACAGTCTGCTCTGCGTATGGTTGTTATGGCGTGTGTGACTCTGTTGTGTTTCTGCAGCATTTCCGCGGCAGGAAGAGCCGCTGCTACAGTCTGGCGGTGCGTGCGGTGCGCAGGGCCTTCGTTTACGCCAGCAAAGCACGGAAAGCCAAGAGACGCAGCATGAGACAGGTATAACACACGACACACACCTGCCTGAGCTGCAGGGGGACAGACGTGTGTGGGTCTAAAGTAGTGTGTGCGTGTGTGTGTGTGCGCAGCTATGGATCACACGGATCGCCGCCGCCACCAGAGAACACGGCCTGAAGTATCCAGCTCTCGTACACCAGCTGCTGAAGGTCAGTGTGACACACCCACATTACAAATACAGGTCAGTTACTGCAGTTGCTGTGTTACCATAGCAACTGTAGAATCACCACAACAGATCATTAACTGTAGTTGTGTTACCATAGCAACTGTAGAATCACAAATCTCAAATGCAGCGTTTTCATTGGTTGCTGTGATTGAACTCTGTGTGTGTGTGTGTGTGTGTGTGTGTGTGTGTGTGTGTGTGTGTGTGTGTGTGTGTGTGTGTGTGTGTGTGTGTGTGTGTGTGTGTCTACAGTGCAGTGTTCTGCTGAACAGGCGTATGCTGTGTGATCTGTCCATCACGGAGCCGCGCTCCTTCCTCTCTCTGAGCAGGCTGGCGCGGGCGCGGCAGCAGGAGGGTCTGAGGGCGGCGCTGGGGTCCGGAGCAGAGCCGCCGGGGGTCTTCTCACGTATCACTCAACTACACTGAGCTGACCCCAGACCTGCGCTACACACACATATGCACATGTGCTGCTGTGTGTGTCCTGTAAATAAGTGTCTGTGTGTGTGTGTGTGTGTGTGTGTTCATGATGTCAATTAAACATGTTCTTATTTAAGGGCTGCTGTCTTGTGTTCATTCTGCCAGTCATTTTGTTTTTGGGCTTATCCCTTATTTATCAGGTGTCGCCACAGCAGAATGAACCGCCAACTTATCCAGAATATGTTTTACACAGTGGAACAGTGGAACCTTCCAGGTGCAACACATCACTGGGAAACACCCATACACACTCATTCACACACACACTCATACACTACGGCCAGTTTAGTTGATCAGTTCCCCTATAGCGCATGTGTTTGGTCTGTGGGGGAAACTGGAGCACCCGGAGGAAACCCACACCAACACGGGGAGAACATGCAAACTCCACACAGAAACACCAACTGACCCAGCCGAGACTGAACCAGAGACCTGAGTGCTGTGAGGTGATCATGCTGCCCACTGTGCTGCTGTGTTGTGTTTACAATCATAATTATTACAGTCGACATCTCCATATGTGCATTCATGTAGAAACACAGCGATTCATCCCAATATGACCATCACCAGCCTTATTAATCACTCACTGCACGTTAAACAGGGGAGATCATCAGAGATCTGTGTGTGTGTGTGTGTGTGTGTGTGTGTGTGTGTGTGTGTGTGTGTGTGTGTGTGTGTGTGTGTGTGTGTGTCAATTCTTCTGTAAAGTGCTGATGAACGCTGGACTCATGGCCTCCACTCAGTCACTCAGTTCACTTATTCTTGTATTTAAACTCTTCTCTGCTGTTATAGAGCCTTCATCATGACAACTGAGTCACTAACAGAGGCGAGGAAAAGCCACAATATTTCACATTCATGTTCGTTTCCTGGATGAAGACATGTTTTCCTTTAAAAACACCAAGAGAAAGTCAACATTACCAGAGCTCTTCATTTAAAAAGGATGCAAATATCCGAACATTCACACATGGGGGAAATCCACATAAATACTGCAGTGTGATCCACCGTTACTATAGTGGAGCACTTTCATTCAGCTGTGCCTGTGATGCTGCAGTTGCTATGGTAACACAACCACTATAGTGACTGATCTGCTGTGGTGATTCTACTGTTGCTATGGTAACACAACCACTATAGTAATCGATCTGCTGTGGTGATTCTACTGTTGCTATGGTAACAACACTAGTAATGTAAACAAAATGACCCAACACTAGTTGTCTACAGCTGTAGGGGTTATTATAGTACAGTACATCACAGCTTACTGCGGTAAAACTCCAGTATTTAAATCAGTTGACGTCAGTGAACACTGCAGTGTGCTGGAGCAGTCATCCGCACACAGCTGTAGATAACACTGTAATACAGTATATTATTCACTACAGTAGGGCTCAAACCCTGCAGTGTTCACTATAGATCACTCTAACATGTGTTCATGAGCTTCAGTAGTATTGTGCTGATGATTGTCAGGATGGAGAAGCACACAGGTGATGTATACACAGGGTTTTGGGAACATCTAGCGGAGACTGATCATGTTTGTATTATTATTCTATCATCATTATTTGTGGTTGGGAGAACGTTTGTCCGTAACCTTGTCAGAACGCTGCGATCGCTCTCCGTTAATGCAGAATCTGAAGCAGAGTCGTTTTCACACATGAATAAGACATGTCATACAGCACAATCGCTTCTCTGGTTCGAGTCTCGGCTGGGTCAGTTGGTGTTTCTGTGTGGAGTTTGCATGTTCTCCCTGTGTTGGCGTGGGTTTCCTCCGGGTGCTCCGCTTTCAGTCCAAACACATGCGCTGTAGGGGAACTGACCAACTACACTGGCCGTAGTGTATGAGTGTGTGTGAATGAGTGTGTATGGGTGCTTCCCATCTGCTGTGCAAAACATGTGCTCGAATAGTTGGTGTTTCATTCCACCGTGGCGACCCCTGTTGAATAAAATGAATGATTCTAGCAGTATTCTCTATGTTTGATAAAGCTCAGCGCCGCACGTGACCCTGAACACTGACGCAAGACCGCTTTGGTCCTCTCTCGGCCACCGTACGCAGCGCGGTGGGGCGTGTCTTCCTCTCTGACCTTCTGAAGGACGAGCGCCTCAGCCAATCAGCGCGCAGCGGCGGCGCGTGAGTAGCACTGCGCACGCGCAGAGAGCGGCGTGACACTCGTGTAGTGGAGTCTGTCCCGGCTCGGTCTGTCAGCGGATCATGTCGTGGCTGTTCGGGCTTAATAAAGGCCAGAGCGGCGGCCCACCGGAGCTCCCGCCGCCGCCCGCTCCCCCCGCTCCTCCCGGCGGCTCTGGAGCGGCGGACAAACCCAAGGACAAATGGAGCAACTTCGACCCGACTGGGCTGGAGCGCGCGGCGCAGGCGGCCAGAGAGCTGGACCAGTCCCGTGAGTACACACACACACACACACACACACACACACACACACACACAGTCACATATGATGATGATGATGATGATGATGTTGTTGTTGTGAGGAGGTCAGAGGTCACAGATAATGATGATGTGTGTGAAGGTCAGAGGTCAGCGCGGCCTGTGTCCTCCTCCAGGTGTAGTTTATATTCCTTCATGCTGTGATGGACTGGTGGACTGACTGACTCTTCAACATTCCCTATCCCTGCGCTGCCCTCTGGGTAACTTTCACCCTCATGAAGCCAGAGCCGCTCATCAGAATAACCCATTCAGCTCATCCACATCCCTCAAACCAGCAGTCACACACATGAGGATGTCCAGCTCACTCACACACTGCTGCTCCGAGATCACCTTCCTCCTCTGCAGCTTTACAGAGGCTTTCTGCTCCATCTAATGGCAGTGAATGGTGACCGGTTCATTAGATTAGGAATAAGCACACACACACACACACACACACACACACACACACAATTGAGTGCAGATCTGCAGCCGTGACTCCTGACGACACTCTGAGCATCATTAGCTGTGTCATTAGCTCTGCTCTCAGCGTGACTGTGGTCCTGATGCTGGACTGGTGAATGAGTGAGAGCGTGTGATTGGACGAGAGGTCGCGTGATTCACACCATACAGAGCACACACACTCCTCCAGCAGGCGAACTCACACTCTGCTGCAGTACACACTGTGTAGTGTGAAAGGTCAAAGGTCAGCATGTGTGACCCCTGTGCCCGCAGGTCATGCCAAGGAGGCTCTGGATCTGGCGCGGATGCAGGAGCAGACGGTTCAGATGGAGCACCAGGGCAAGATCAAGGTAAAACACACACACACACACACACACACACACACACACAACTGACAGACATATGTGTGAAGGCGGAGTAATACACGAGGGTGAAGAGGCTGGACCAGTGCTTTTATTGGCAGCTATCAGCCAATCAGATTTAAGAGTTAGACAGAACTGGTGTGTGTGTGTGTGTGTGTGTGTGTGTGTGTGTGTGTTCAGGAGTACGAGGCAGCAGTGGAGCAGCTGAAGGGTGAGCAGATCCGCATTCAGGCTGACGAGCGCAGGAAAACCCTGAACGAGGAGACCCGACAGCACCAGGCCGTGAGTGCAGGACACTGTTATTGATGACTGATTATTGATCATTGATCGTCACTGATGTGTGTGTGTGTGTGTGTGTGTGTGTGTGTGTGTGTGTGTGTGCAGAGGGCGCAGTATCAGGATAAACTGGCGCGGCAGCGGTACGACGACCAGCTCCGACAGCAGGTGTGTTTACAGTGTCTTTATATGTTGCTAAGCAACCAGAAGCCAAGCAGCTGTGTGTGCGCACCCTCACCCTGTGTGTTCCCCACAGACACTGCTGAACGAGGAGAACCTGCGCAAACAGGAGGAGTCCGTGCAGAAGCAGGAGGCCATGAGGAGAGGTGTGTGTGTGTGTGTGTGTGTGTTATGTGCATGTTTCATGGTGTGTGTGTGTGTGTTTCACTGTGTGTGTGTGTGTGTGTGTGTGTTACAGCCACCATTGAGCACGAGATGGACCTGCGGCACAAGAACGAGATGCTGCGCGTGGAGGCGGAGTCTAAAGCTCGCGCGCGTGTGGAGAGAGAGAACGCTGACATCATCAGAGAGCAGATCCGGCTGAAGGCGGCTGAGCACAGACAGACCGTGCTGGAGTCTATACGGTACACACACACACACACACACACACACACACA